TTTTTTTTTTTTTTTTTTTTACTTTTCTAGTACTCAAAAATTTCTGATGACACAGACAGATAGCAGTGAAGTAGAGTCTGGGGGATACAAGATGGCATAGTGCAGTCAGGTAGGAGATGACCAACACTAACAGGTCTCTGCCTATATGCTGTTTCTTGGGTTAGTTTTCCCAGCCCAAGAGGGGAAATCAGAGACTTTCAGCTGCTGGTTAGAGGAAGGTGTTTTCTGTGGCCATCAACGTCACGAAGCTGAAAGTCAAGGTAACCAGACTTCACCTCTGTTCTGCCCACAGACAACAAGGACCTGTTCCCTCTGAGCTGGAATGTTGCAGGAATGTTTCCCAGTACCGGAGAAAATCCCTCATTCTGTTTTCAATGAAAAATATCAAATAATTCTTTTTGATCCTTCCCAAGCACAAATGTTTCCATTTCTGCAAATATTATCGTGGTTTTCTCAAGAAGAGAATATGTTTGGGTCTTGTGGCAAGAAGGCTGCCATGGGTCAAACGGTCAGTGGCACCGAATCTGCAGCAGGCGACCCTTCTGACAGGGTCTCACCACCACAAACAATGCTCAGAGGGTGAGAGGACGGGTCCTAGAGACCGGGAGAGAACAGTGGCTGAGAACAAAAAGCCGAAATCCTCAACCAACCAGCTGTGAGCCCAACAACCAGTCCCCACTAAAGCAAGGAAGTGGGATAGTTAAGCCCCATGTGCTCTTCGGTTTAAAATTAATAATTCTTTTGTCCACATAAAGATGTTACCACTTCATAACAATAAAATTCTACATGAAAAATCAAGGTAGGGCTGGGGATTTAGCTCAGTGGCTCCGTGGCCTGCCTTGCAAGCGCAAGGACTTGAGTTCAGTCCCTGGTACCAAAAAAAAAAAAAGAAAAAAAAATCAAGGCAACTCCCAGCCAGTGCACGATTTTGGTAAAAACACTCAAGCTACAGCAGAAATGCCATATCCTGGTGTTCTGTGCAGGCGATGACACAGGCAGAATCCCTACTGAGCATGTTTCTCTCAACCAAATGCTGTCCATTTTGCTGCCATGAATGACTCCTGTGCTTATCCCGACAAATGGCCTATCGATTGCATGAGTGCCGTGGTTTAGTGAAGGGCCCATTACACATAATTCTTTTGAGTTGTGGCTTGACTCAGCACAGGTATCACAGACTCCATGGCTGTTAGTCTAATTTGGTGGTTCCCAAAATAGTTTGTGAAATATTCCTCGAAAAAAAGTGTCCCATGCTTAAAAACAAAAACAAAAAAATCCCAACTCTATCTATCTACCTACCTCCCTACCTACAAGATAACTCTTCTCTGGAAGAGTTTCAGAGCATGATAAAGATCCTCAGGGATCCTTTAGCAACAATGCTGTTTAAACCAACATTAAAAAAAAAAAACAACTTATCTGAACACGTATGAAATATCCCCAAGGTATGGTCAGAAACTTTAGTACAGAGTTCTGAGTTCTTCTTAGTATCAGACAGATATAGGTTTGAATGCTGCATCTTCCATTTATAACTGAGTGAGCTTGCAGACCTTATCCTCAATTATTTCACTGTGATAATACATCAGGGAATAGTAACTCTGATCCTGAAGTCTTGTGATGGAGAAATAAGGCTCTTTATCTACAATTCTACCAAAGATATGAACAAATCATTCCTCCTGTTTTATTATTGCTACTGATAGTCTTTTAAATTATTATGTGTAGAGGCCTCCAAATGGAGAATTAAGTATGTGAGTATAAAAGAAGGGGAAATGAAAAGCAAAAAGAACGGCCCACTTGCAGGTTCAGTTTTCAGTGAAGAAATTCTGTTTCTTCCAGAAATTAGAGTAAATCATAAAGTCAGGGAAAGAGCAGGCCCACTGCCTGAGAGGAGAAGGATAGTGCCTTTGGCTCCTCCAGCTTCTGCATTCTCTGGACTTTTATTGCAGTACACACTTAAAATTCACTGGGCTGTGTGTCAAGCTACCTTTTCTCATTACTCCTTTTCAGGGTCTGGGTTGCCAGACCATAATGTAACACACATGTTTCCTGCAGACAGCCTTCTCTCCTGACACAAAACAAGTGTGAGCCTCACAATGCGCAAAAATAATGAGGCGTGATTTCAAAAATAAATGGAGTCCATTTTCTCCTCTTAAAATCAGTGAAAATGTGCTCATATCACATGCACAGGCATTTCAGGACTCAGTATCCTCTAGGTTCCTAGTGTATCTTGAAATAAAGCCTTCGTACAGTCAAACAGTTCCTTCATGAATTCCAGAGGGTGCCAGTCTGCATTTCTCGGCAGTGTCCTGGGGACAAACTTCACGATGTACTTTAGGCTGCCTCACTGTCTCACACCAGTCCAGTGTGATTATAAGGAATGTCTTGTGTCCCATTGTAGAAATCTGTCCATTTAAGAAAGAGCTGTCCTGGCCATAAATTAGTCCAAAGGGCTTTCTCTAACTCCAGGAAGTTATTTAGGATCATTTAGAATAAAATGGGGTTTAGAGTAATGTCAATGCCAAACAGATCTAAAACAATGAACCTAACAGATGGTGAGTACTTGGGAAGCATTCAGAGTTTTAGAGCTGCATGTCAGTAACCATAGAGGAAATTTTAAAAGAGACATAAAATATTTTCCATTAGGAGAAGATTTGTTTATTCTGTTAACTTAATCAGGGAAATTGGCTTCATTTGTTCTGAGAGTTTCAAAGGGTTCTCCGAAAGTGGGCTGGGATCATGTGGCCACATGCACATACTTGACTATTAATGGCTGTGGTAATAACTATGGAGCACTGAGCACACACCGTGTGTCCAGCCAGGAACTGGACAATACCTTTAAACACAGTCTGTCCAGCTCCCCAGAGCAGCTCCATAGGACTGAGGCATAAGGTAGCTGCCCCAAGGCCACACGCTGCCAGGAGTAGTACACTACTTCTCGGGATCAGGCCAGCCCGCACCACCCCAGTGATATTTCTAAGACAACAGCCCTCTGCGTTTGGCCTTGGAAACAAAAACTATCAGAAATTAAAACAAGCAGGTAATCTTGGAATAAACGTGTAATTAAAAAGAAGGGCTCTGGATCCCGAATATACACTATCCCCAACCTTTTCTCTTTAACGTTTTCTAGCATGCAGAGTTTGTGTGCTTGAGCTAGTGAGAGATGAGCTGAACTAATGGATAATTGCTACTTTATGGATGACAATTGGAATTATGCAGATCTCAGCGATTTCTTCTCATCTCTGCAACTCGAAATGCAAATAGCATACAGTAGAGAAATTCTGGAGTAACTGTTATGTTGACCTCGTTAGCACATTTGTTATACAGAATTAATACAACCAAGAAGTTGCTGGATCTAGAAGGGATGCTAAAGATCTTAAGAGGAAAGCTCAATTTCTACTTTCAGAAAGGGGAAAACTGAACCCACTGAAATTAAATGACTCATTATAGAGAATTTGTTTACATATAACCAATAAAATAAAGCCAGTCGGAGCTGTAGAAGCCATGTATATAGCAGCAAAAAGTGCAGGGTTTTGCTGGACAGACCTGGGATGGAGCTACAGATTAGCTATGTATAAGATGTGGAAGCAGAAAAAAAAAATTTAAATGGAGGCTCAGTTCCCCTAACACTAAAATAGGCATCTAGGTTGTCAGTTTCATTAAGTGTTGTATTAAATAATGATAAAGCAGCAGGTGCTTGGAGGCACTAAATAAATAACACATATACATACAGGGAACTTCTCTTTACATAAAGCTCTTTGCAATAAGATCTGTACTCTGGTAAACTGGCTTCTATTAAAAGCATAGAAAAGTAACAATCATACTGTTTTATTTGGTGCGTTAGTAGCCAAAAGAAAGTTCTGTTTTGGCAAAAGGGTATTCCTTGATTTCTTCATGTGGAATATAAGGTATTAGTTGGTAAAAAGTGCTGTCTACTCTATTAAGCCCCGTGGGTATACCAGAAGGAACTCCTCCTGAGCTTTTGCTGAAGTAGCACACCTTTAATGAAAGCACCTTCTTAATTTTCACTTCTCCAGCAAAACCTTAACTTTTCCTTAAATGTAAAGGCCAGAGTTAATACACAATAATACGTTCTCGATTAGATACCATATACTATAATGTCAAAGTAAGTTTCCTGTCCACAGCAAATTTCTGCTGAATATATCAAATACAAAATGAACTTAGTTTCATCATACCTTTTGTAGCTGTTCAAAAATGTACGACAGCGTCCTTGGGATAATGCCTCTGTCGCTGTAGCGCTCAGCCCCACCTGTGATAGTGAAGGTCTTGCCACTTCCTGTCTGCCCATATGCAAAGATGGTACTGTTGTAACCCGCCAGAACACTGCAAAAAAGGAGTGGCAAGCTTTTAAAATTAAAATTGACACCTGAATTTGCATTAGATGGCTCATACTCTAATGCTAACCTTATGACTTACTACTGTAAAGACATTAATAGGAAATTCTACAGAAATATTCAGGTATGTGACTACCTAGCTAGAATTTACATTTTAATCCAAGAATATCAACATATCAAACCTTTCCTCCTAAAAAGGACATGTAACTCAAATAGAGTCTGGTTATCTCAAATATTTTCTTCATATTTTAGGATGCTGGACTTGAATCAAAGAACATGTTAAAAAAAAAAAAAGTCCTGGAGAAACAACCTCTATAATTTGGCCAGCTCTTCTCTTGACACCTGGTACCTCACATGGTGAATACTCACCACCTGAGTTGTCTCTGAGACCACCAGGCACACACTGTGTTTGTGGCTGTGTACCTTGTCATGCAGTTCCCTACTTAAGATTTAGTACCAACTGGAAAACCCTGGAAGTCTGCTCCTCTCCTTCCTTGGAATGACTTTCTGGTAAGAAATACTGGTCATTAGTGTTCTGCAGCCCTGCGGGGTAGCCCTTTATTTGGTATGGGGTCTTAAGAACCCTGAACATGCTCAGCCCTTGCAGGCCGCCACCTGTACCGTGGGCTTTTAACAGTGTGCATGACATGATTCGGATTTTTTCAAATGCAGTTCTTGTATCTGTGGCACACAGAACAGTAAACTCTTGCAGCTTTTCTTTCTCCCTTTCTTTTTATTACAAGTGGTTCCTTCATCTGCAAGATGTTTCCATCAAGCCAGCTATGATGACGTCAGCTAATGGTATCCACGTTGCAAGTGGTTTTTTAAATGCATGGCTATCCTGAAATCGCTCTTGACTGTTCACAGTGGGATTTCTGCTCTGTGACTTCTGCGATCCTTTCCACAATTCTCTCTAGGCCTCATTATGCTCTTGTGCCTCGATGCTGAGTGATCTATCACCACAATTTCCTCTCGAGACAAACATGTTCTGCCCACAGCTTATTCTGAAGTAGTCAGTTAAATCTTCAGCATCTCATGGGAACAGAAACTTACAATAATACCTTCAGCTACAAATGAATGCATCTTGTGATCAGTAACTGGGTACTGTCAGTGCTTAAAAAGGGAGTAAGAAAGGGAAGAAAATGCATTACTACTGTGTGGTTTAACTGTCTACTTTTGGGAATCTTAATCTTTTCTCCTCATGTGTCAACACGGGATGATGGTGCATTGTTGAAAATCTCAGTTCGTTAAGATGTTCAAATTACCATAGTGCATTTAGGTGGATGATCACAGGATCTTTTTTACCCAACAGAATTTGTCAACAATAAAACAGAAATGCCTCATTGGCAAAATCATTTGGAAATGTGATTTCTTGGCCATAAATGCTCTCAGTAAATGAAGTCTGTAACTTAAAGCATCAGATCATAAACACTATATCGATTCTTGATAGAAAACAAAGAATACACAGCACAAATTAACATTTTCATTTTGACACAGTATAGTCTATGAAGTAAGGTATGGAGCGTGTCCCACCTGTGCCCACTGATTGGTATATCTATCTTTTTATTCTTAAATCTTCTTTCTCACTGCTGGCTGTCCCTGCATGTCTGCCTCTACTATGTCCTCCTCCTCCCCTATGTGCTGTGGGATGGAAGACCAGAGGGCATAGGTTCAAAGAGCACCGTGTAAAATCAAGAGGATATAGGGTCCATCTAGAGATACTCGCAAGGCTATTTATTACATTGCTACAATAAAAATTTAATAAAGGAATGTCAACAGGCAAATTCTGTCTCTGGTTCTTTTGTTTAGAAACCTTCTCATTCCAATTCATTTTCTCTTTACTCTTCATCGGGTACTAGGCATTTGCACATACTTCCAGTATCACCTGCCCTTAGAAAGTACAAGAATTAAAAATAGAGAGAGAGAACTGGCAGTGTAAAAACTTTTGAAAATCGTTCCTCCATAGGAACAATGACATCAGGGGCAAAAAGTGTCGAAATCAACTTGTTCAGAACTCTGGAAATCATCCAAAGACGCACAACAATCCAAGGAGTGCTTAAGAAAAATGGCTGAAACTGCAGAAACAGGGAGCTTTGGGGCGTCTTAGCTTGAAAATTCCCAGCCCTCTTTTCATAGCTCCAAGATAGTCTTGAGAAACAGTAGTCTTGCAACCACAGGAGCTGTGGAAACCAGCAGCCTAGCGACTACTTTAAGGGAGCCATGTAGGTTTGGAGCACCTCAAAAAGCCCCACCCGTAAAGAGCTGCCACTCTCTGGCCTTCCTGGAAGCTCCCTGGAAAAGCCCCACCCTCAGTATAGAAATTGCCTGTGACTTGGCTCAGACCTCGCTTGGTGTGAGCAGCCCTAATGTCAGGGTGTTTCTTGAAAATAATCAGTGGCCAGTGTTTAACATCACAGCTGCCTGAGGCTGCAATATCAGTGAGGTAAATAAAAATGTGACCAAAAGCCTAAAAATCTGTGGAATAAATTGCAAGGCGATTTGAAAAGCTATGACATATTCCAGGGGCTCTAAAAGGCCACACATATGTTCAGGGCCATGTGCATGCTCTGATAAGACTTGAGAAGGGCATTTTAGGTCACCTCCTTGAGACTGCACAAGCAGAACGTGGGGGTAAGGCAGAAATGGAGATCGAAGGTGTCTCAACACACAAGAGTCCTTTGGTGTGAGCTCGGAGGCTGACAGGTTCAAGGCACATAAAGAAATCTCTATCTGGTCACTTAGCTGAACACTAAGCTAATTGAGAGGAAATTTCAGAGGCTGTATGTGCAAAGATACAAGGCAAACAGGAAGGTGAGTAGAACTTTAAAAGGAAAATCTGTGGAATAAGATGTCAATAAGGGGCTTTGAAAAATCACTATTCGATGCAGACTTTACCGAAATAGTTCAGAATAGTTGCTAAAGAAACAAGCAACAAAGCGACAACAACAGCAAACAATCTTGGGAGGGAGAGAATTCGATTTCCAGGGCTGGTACAGTATAGAACTTAAAATGCTCAGTTTTAAGAAAAAAAGACACATAAGAAGAAAATATCGCCCCTCTACACAACAAAAGGGTAAATGGAAACAGATGTTAAAGAAGCCCAGATATTTTTCACTATACAAAAAATTTAAATTAGCTATTACACATATGTTCAAGGAACAGAAGTAAAACACAGTTAAAGAATTAAAGGAATATGGGCCGGGGACTTAGCTTAGACACCGCGCTTGCCTGGCAAGAGCAAGGGCCTGCATTTAATCGTGGTACCACACACAAAAAAAATTAAAGGCATATATGACAATCACGTCTCACAAAATTGAGCGTATCAATAAAAAGAGATTTCTTATAAAGAACTAAATAGAAACTGGTTGAACACTAAACCAAAATTAAAACAGAAAATGTGAGTTGGCAGAAGAAGCAGTGAACCTGAAGATCAGCTGAGGTTATCCAGTGTGAGGGGTAGAAAGGGCAAAGAGAATGAAGTAAATGAACAGAGACTTCAGAGATCCATGTATACATAACGGGAGTCCTAGAGGAGAGGGGATAGCATATTTAAAGAAATGGTCACAGGAAACTTCCCGAATTTGATGAAAACATTAATCTAAATATCTAAGAAGAGCAATAAATTCAAAGTAGAACAATCAGAAAGATATCCAAATGTAGATACACCACAATCGAACTGTTGATATGCAGAGAATCTTGAAACAAGCAGCAGAGAAGTGACTGATGAAATACAAGCACATAATGGGAAGTGGGGAGATAGTTTTTCCTACATGGAAAGGGGACCAAGAGATGTAGGAAAGGAATAAAGAGAGGCATGGAGGGGACAAAAAAGGAATTTAAACGTGTTTTGTACACTTACCAACTCTATACAAGTAATGTAAACATTATGTACTGTAAATATGCATGAATAAAAAAATGCAGTGGGGGGAAACAAAAAGCAAGACAATGAATACCAAGTAGCTACTGCCATATAAGATTTTAGTGCAAATAAGTTATTAAGAAAAAAAAAAGAAATACAAGCCCTCCTCATAGGATCAATAGTGGATTTCTTCTCTGTGGAGGCCAAAGGTAATGGGTAACATATTCAGAATGCTAAAAGAAACTGGTCTGGGTATCTTCCTTTGCAGAAATTGATGAACTTCTCAAATTTCTATTTGAATTTTATTGTCGGATTGTTCATTGTGCTTTGTAGAAATATACTTGGTTTTTGTATATTGATCTTGTAACCTGCAGCCTTACTGAATTTGTTTATCTCTTTTAATAGTATCACAAGATTCTGTGAAAAAAAATATATAATGATATATAACATACTGGGCTTCCCCATTCAGTCTGTTAGCATTAGATCACACCCATTCTGTTTAACCCCATTTCAGCATGGCTATCCCTGCTTCGATGAGGCCTACATAAGGAAGTCTCCATGAAAACCCATAAGAAAGCTAGGCCTAGTGACACAAGTCAATAATCTCGGCACTCTAGGAGGCTGAGGTAAGAGGACTATAAGTTCAAGCCCAACCTGAGCAATTCAATGATTTAATGAGACTCTGTCTCAAAATTAAAAAAAATTAAAAACAGGCTGGATGTGGTGGCTAGTGTGAAGGCCCTAGGCTCAGTGCTCAGTACATAGAACACAGGACAATCAAACCCCTAAAGGACAGGGCTCAGGAGCCTCTGGTCATGGACAGCATGGAAGCTCTGCACTCTTGTCAGACCCGGTCCTGTGCATCTCTTCATCTGTATCATTTCTAATACACTTTATTATAAATCAGTAAATGTGTTTCCATGCATCCTATGAATCTCTTTAGTTAAATCAGAGGAGAGAACTGTGGGAATCCCAATTTATAGTTCTTTGGTTAGAAGTACAGCTAAAACAATCTGAGGCTTGTAATCAGGATTCTAAAGAGGGTGTGGAGGGAGCAGTGTTGGGGGCTGAGCCCTCACCCTGTACAATCTGACAGTACCTCCAGGTAGATGGCATCAGCACTGTGTTGG